AGTCACCAGAGTGGGGAGGAGAGGAGGCAGAGTGACAAAGTACACTGCTGAGGGGAACAGTAGGTGGGTCAGGAGAGGTCTGCTGTCGCATGTGGGGCACCTCGCTAGCCAGAGATCGAACTTGTGCTGAAGTGGCTGTGGCCGGCTTCATAGTGCAGTACTTTAACCCATGGTGCCAAGAGGGAGGGTCTAATGCAATGTTTTTCTTAGGACAGTAATCACAATATCCATTTATGAGAGCCACTGCTGATCACCAAAAATGTTCATTTACAAGGAAATAGTACCTCATCTTTTCTTTGTTTAAAAAATCTTTGTGGTCATATGTCAGGATGTCTAAGAGAATCTTCGCAGTTGTACAAAAAGCAAATGTGTATGATGTAGACATCTAAATTCTTAATCATTTTTTCTAATTTTTTTAAGAAGAACTAATCACTTGAATACCCAAATTATGAATATGTGGGACACTGTTTTTTTTGTTTTGTTTTCCTTTTCTCCCTTTTTTTTAAAAATATATATATAATAGTTGTTTTTTTTTGTTTGTTTGTTTTTGTTTACATCATTTTGTGCGCTTTTTCATCTCAGTTGTAATCCCCATGGGCTTCCCAATACCAAATCACCCTGTGCCATCACCATAGTCCAGTGCATTTCCTTCCCCCCACTGCTTTTGGGATACTGTTTTAAGACTGCCCCTTTGACTATAAAAATACACTCACTTATTTACATGGTCTGAATTAAGGTTGTACTCTAATAGTTTCCTACATAACTTAACAATCAATAATACCTGCTGATTTGTCAGTGGAATTTTTATTTCTCAATCTTATAAGAAAAAAACCTACTTCCTAAATACAATGTGAAAATATATTAGCTTACATAGTGAAAATTAGTATTTACTAAGCAATCATGGCCTAAAAAATTTAATCTTAGAAGCTTTAAGAAGCCCTCTATAACCTGATTAGATCTTTAACGTAAAATCCAATTAGAAATAAAATCAAGAAGCTAGCTTCTTACAGCACCCAGAGCCACTAGGATTACTTTTCAGAATTTGCCACCAGGGGGCAGTCTACTTGTGATTAAAAGAGTCTCATTGTATTTAAAAGTTGCGTATTTGATAACTATCAACACTGTAAATAGAAAATAGACTGAGAATGGTTTAGTAAACTTGCCTCAAGGTTGTTTTCACATTTTAACGTTAAAGGATTAAAGCATACTGATCTTATTGAAAGCATATTAGTTTATATAGGTATCATAAAAACATCTTAGGGCAAATAAGAGCATAAAAACCCAAATAAAACTGTAATAAGTTGATCCCTTGACTTTGCCATAATATTAAAAAAAAATTTTTAAATGCCTGCTGACAACTTGCTTGGAAAAACCAGAAGCATGTTGACAGTGGATGTATTATTGTATATTGTGAATCACTTTAGGCTTATAAATGACTCATCCATCATGAGGCTATACATTTAATTAAAAAAATGCAGAAGTAAGCAAACAGCTGTGAAATCCACTCTAATTTTTCTTTTCTCGGTTTCACTTAGGCCACTTTTTCTTGTTTTATATCAGACCACAAAATTATAACATTTCTATTATTTGTGATGAGCTGAGGAAAACAAGTTTCCAAATTCACCTTATCCTAAAAATAAGGTAATGAAGTTTTAATGCTAATTTTTTCTGCAACATAACATTTTAAAAATCTGCTTAAATTCAGAGATTTTTTTATTACACAATTTAACTTTTACATCAATAAACCTTAAGTAACAATACAGACGAAGGAGAAACAATTTAATTTGTATTGAAATAAATATCAGATATACAAAGCACATACAATGAAAAGGGTCACAATAAATTACAAGTGGGAGACATTATTTTGCTCAATCACCAAAGAAAGCCCTTGACACTTCCAATTTTACACCATCAAATTTATCATTCTTGCTGATTTAAGCAGAAGACAAAACAAATATGGATCCCAGGGCTTACTTTCACAGGTACCAGCACAGATAATTTACTAGAGTGATCCAATTTGGAAATCAGTAGGGACCAGTAAATCGCTGCATAAAAGAAAGAGCGAATAAGGTCCTTTTTCCTTAGTGTCAGCAGGCTATGATTATTATGTTTATTAGATTTTCTTGAAAGGACTTCACATTTTCTCAAATATTCAGGAGAAATATATTTCTCCTCTGAGTCCTACATTAGCATTTATGTGCTTGGGTCTTGAATACAGGAGGAATGATGAATTTTTCAATTTATTTCATAAATTTATATAGTCTGGGTAGCATTGGCCTGAAGAGTGTAACTCCCTAACTTGTATAATATTAGATAATAAAAATGGGTTCAAGAGGAGTTACTAAGAAATGCTGACATTCTGTATATACAGATTTTTTAGTTCAATATATCCCATTATATAGAGCACCAGAAGTAATGCATTTATAAATCAAGCAGTTTTGTTATGACTCTCTCTAATCTTTGTGACCCTTTTACATTAGTTCCAATATCTATATATACACATTACAAATGTTATCTGCTCAAGTCTTTGCCCATTTGGTCTCAACTTACAAATATATATGGAAGCAAAAATTCATGTCTAAGTTTTTGTTCTATTTTAAAGTCATACGCACAAAAAGTTAAGGTTTAGAATTAAACTTCATGAACTAAGCAAAAAGGTTAGTTTAAAAGTACTGGGCAGAGCCCTCCGTGGTGGCGCAGTGGGTTAAAGCACTGCACTAAGAAGCTTAAGCCACTTCTGCATGAGTTCAATCCCCGCCTGCCTCAGAGGTGACCACATGGCGCAGCAGACCTCTCCTGACCCACCTGCTGCTCCCCTCAGCAGTGTATGTACTTTGTCCATCTGCCTGTTCTGCTCCCCACTCTGTCCCTGGAGAATCCTCTCACCCTCCGCATCTCTGGCCTGCACCCCAGTTCTGGAGTAAATAAATCTTAAAAAAAAAAAAAAAAAAAAGTACTGGCAATCAGAAAAAATCAGTTTCAAAAGGAAAAAGTGAAATGATCCTTGGGCCCTTTTTTTCTCAGGGGATATGAGCTGAGTTTTAGATTCTAGGAAAGACACTCACCAATCACTTTTTTTCTATCATTTTCTATGAAAAGGAGTTTGCTCCTTTAGATTAAAAGAATACTGTACTTTATCTTGTTATATAAACTCAAATCCAGTGCAGGTCAGTTTTCCTACTTGCACTACACAAGAGAAAAGAATACCAATAATCCTTCACTTAGAAACCATGTTCTAGTAACCACCTTGAAAGAGAAACATGTCCTAGAATAATTACTATCAGAAAAACTCCCCCAAGCCTTTAGCAGCTCCTTTCCCTTCTTAATACCAGATACACTAACTTTATATCCAGAATATTCTGAGACTATCCATTAAAACTATCTTTGGAAATAACTCTTGGATTTATAAATGTATGCCTTTGGTATACTGTTATACTATTTTAATCATACAGTCTCTGGACAATTCTCCTAATCCTAGTGAAGTTCCAGTGAAATAAGGCAAACTAGTTGTCTCAGTAACTTTAAGGTGAATTTAAAAGTCCAATACCATTAATGATATGCTATCCAAAAAAATGTCAATATGCTTTTATGTTCTCATTAAAAATTTAAATTTAGGGCTCTCCCTGGTGGTGCAACGGGTTAAAGCACCACGTTATGAAGCTCTCCGAAGCACTGTAGCACAAGTTCGATCCCCGGTCAGGGAGCTGACCCACATGATGTGGCAGACCTCTTTTGACCTGCTGCTGCTACCCTTAGCAGTTTGTTTCAGTATATCTGCCTGTTCTGATCCCCATTCTGTCTCTGGTGAATCCTCTCACCCACCACATCTCTGGCCTGTACCCCAGTCCTGTAAGCATAAATAAATAAATCTTTAAAAAAAGAAAAAATTTTAATTTAAAGAGGTTAAACTGACTATGCCTTGTGTACCTACAAAATGGCCATGAAAAAAAAGTAGTATGATTTTTCTAAACATCTGAAAATGAAAAACAATTGATATGTTTAGGTGATTTAGGCACTTACAATGAAAAAGAAAAAAAAAAAGAGAAAAACCAGAGGCCACAATCTGAATGAAGCCCACTTCCAAATTGTCACTTATTTTACTGCTTACCTAGAAAACATGATAGTTCTTCCATCTTTTCAATATTTCAAAACTGTACTCACAGTAAATGCTTACTAAATATTTATTAAATATTGAGTTGTTACACAGTAAAAAGGGTCATGGAACCCAGATCCTCAGTTTTCTGGCTAACTCTGCACTTTTGGTGGCATTTTACTCTGCAAAATGGCATGTGAAACGATGTTGGAGGTGGGTGTATTGAGGAAATCATGCGCCTAGTGATCATAAAAATAATTGTGATTACTTTCTCCCTTAAGGTTTTTATTACAGTTATGTATCAAAATTTTATTATACAGTTATGTATCAAAATTACATATCAATAAGGGTGATGATTTTAAGGTTAGTAGATTCTAAGTGGATGGGGGGAAGGATAGGAGTATTAGAATTATTATAATCAAATTTCTTGGTGTGAGATAAGGGTCATTATCACAGTCCCCCAAAATGAACTTCATTCATTCTGATCTCAAATATTAAAAATCGTAAATCAGTTCTAACTCATCTTTCTTGCCAGGATGATTACTAATACCTTAAATTACAAATCTAATCTGAATTTTTGATCTGGATTTCTTAAGGAAGTATTTTAATAATTTAAAAATTTTTATGACAGCTTCAGTTTTAAATTAGAATTGCCTTAGCTTTCTCTGTTAGGGCATTCCTACCTACCGAAATTTATTTATTTATTTTTTAATTAGCTTTCTCACTTTTTAAAAGATTTTATTTATTTATGCATATAAGAACTGGGGTGCAGGCCAGAGATGTGGTGGTGAGAGGATTCACCAGAGACAGAGTGGGGAGCAGAACATGTGGAACTACTGAAATACACTGCTGAAGGTGAGACAGGAGAGGTCTGCTGCACCATGTGGGACAGTTCCCTGGCTGGGAACCGAACTCATGCTACAGTAGCTGGTGATAGCTTAATAAGGTTAAGATTTTAACCTCTGTGCCACCCTTTCTTACTTACTACTAGGAGCACCTGTATTGGTGAATTTAATTTAATGCATTTATTTATTCATTTGTTTATTTTTTATGTCATTGTTCATTCTCTTCTAAGGTATAATAACCATAAAATTACTACCACCAAGACACCCATGAACCACCTGTCTTGGTGAATTTTTTTCCACATAAATTTAAATTGTTACTTAAAAATTTCTTTTTGGACTGATGTTACAGAATCCTTGCTAAAATATTTATGGGGCTTCTACCTGTCCAAAGGAGTCTAATCTGAACACTACTTTACAACTTTCCGAAGAATTAGATATTCTGGATGCTAAATGATATTTTTCAGACCTGATAGTAAGAAGTTCAGCTATTGCAGCTATAATTCTTCCTTCTACATTCATTCTATATCCTGCTATTACATTTCATAATTTTAAATCAATAGGTATACAGGTTACACTGTAATTTCAGATGCCAAATTAGCCAGCTGTACATAATCATACTGCAGAATTTCTATCTAAAATTTCACACAAACTAAATATCTAGTAACGTTCAAATTGTAAAATTTACTTTTTCATGAGTGTGTTATTTGTAAATCAAGCCTAACAGCCAAACATGAGCAATTCAGAAATATCCTATTAATGTGATTAAATCTAAACTTTCAAAGCAATGTTTTAAATTATGATTTTAAAATTAAAATAATTTCTGTTAAAATCAGTGAATTTTTTTCTTTTTAGCCAATGAAATTTCCAAAATAAAAGGGAGAACTCAAACTGGCAGACTTATAAGTCAAGAAAAATAAGTCGTCATGGTAAAAATAGAGCACACAGAAAGAAAATTAAGAAATAGAAAACGTGGGGATATCTGAATTCAGTTCTGTATCCAGTTAATAGTATTGTTCAAGTTAGTTTCTTAGTTTTTGATAAATGGTGTCTAGTTATATAAGGTAACTTTTAAAGTCAAGTAAGTGGTACAAGGAACTCTGTACTAATTTTTCAACTTCTATAACCCTAAAATGATCAAGATAAAAAATATTACAAAAAAAACACTGGTAACTTAAAAATAAATATGACTTCAGCTGCCAAAACAATTTAATTCAAGACTTAATTTTTTAAAATACTATTAGAAATCAATAATATACTATTTACTTAACATTATCGTCACTTTATTGCTCTAGAAAATTTAGATTTAAACTATCAGATTAAACATACAGTGAATAAAAAGGCTAGCCACACATACATATAATCAACTGAATATTGAGGCTGCTTCTTCAACTTAGTACATAAATATTACAAAAATACAAAAATAGTTGGTTACAGTTATCAAGAAGATATCACATTTCTATATAGTAACAATCTGAAAAGAAAGCTGATGTAACTGATATGTTACTAATGAATGTTTTTGAGAAATTCACATGCAGAGAAAAAAAAAAATTGGTTACCAAAATCATTACAATACTCTACTAAAATTTGATGTTTTGAACATTTCCAATCATGCAATAGTAATAAAGATTGGAATGAATTTATAAAGGAATTTATGGAAGCTCAATGAACAGAACTTAACATACCACGCAATTCAAATCACAGTTGTATAATACATCTAATTCCCCCAATGTAGCTGTAAATTACAAAACTTAGATGTACACCATTCCCACAACTCTTCTTGCCCCATTCCCAGTCGAATTACCTTACCTATAATCCTTTCATTTTAACATTTTAAATCGGATCTGATGAGTAAGTATGCAATCAATAGGATAATCTTCATTATTGTATCAGAACAGAAATCAAGTATGTCATAGGTTCAATCTTCAGTGACATCACTTTCAAAAGTCATCTGAACTTCTGCAATTGTCAGTTAAAATTCAAGCCTAAGAAACCGAGAAAACTGGCAGTCAAGAATCTCATCTAGGTAATTCTACTAACTATGATAGTACTATGTGTCCATATCTATACGAGAAGGATTTCCTACTTATGAAATGCTACTTACTCAATAGCTCTCTGAAAGCTGAATATCTTTTGCTTTCCAATGTAAAATGTTTAGGTGAACCCCAAATAGTTACATAATTGGTTAACAAGCTTACAGTTGAAACTTTTAAAAAACATAGTCAAGCTCACAGATATTTAGTATGGAAAACAAAATTTTGGAAGGTAACAGTGTAAGATAGAATTTCTCGTAATACATCAAAATAAATTTGTTCTAACAAGGCAGCTTAAAAGTCACTTTTAAGTAATAATATAAAATTAAATGCAGCGGGAAATGCTTCTATAAAATCATCAACCAAAATTAATGAATGGCAAAAGAATACTGTCTCAAAATATACTGAATTCATGTATGTAGTATTATCATAAAGAATTTAGGCCAGATATAAATTCAGGTTACCAACCAGGTTTAAAGAAATTTTAGAGCCATTTCTCAACAGAAATAAATGTACTTCATGATAAAGGCACAGCAGCATCTAAAAAAAAATCCTTGGTACACTTATCACAAGATACAAACTTCCATAATCATTAACAACATAATACAGTAAAATTTTCTCGGAAATTTTGTAAAGGCTTGATTTCACATGCCAGAGAAATGATTTTTTTTCCCATTGAGATGTACTTAGGTAAGTTATGTAAAATGAATTGAGGTCAGTTTTACACCTGAAATTAAAAACTCCTAGCAAAAGTACCAGCTGTGAATAATGCTTAGATTATATATAACTTAGCTGGATGTTAAACTACGCAACTGTTGGAGCCAGTCTGCTTATAAAGGCAATGCTCTGGAGACAAAGTCTTCTCACAAACACAGGGCAAGCAGGTTTCATTATTATATGTTCAACAACAATCCTCAGTTCATTAAACAAGGTTCTGCAAGATAAAATAGTTTCTTTCAAAAACAAGGAAAAAGCAACATAACATTAAGCAAATACTAATAAAGGAGTTCTCCACAACCATTAAAAAATCTGAAATACAAGTAGTAACTAGAATACACTGTATGGAACACTCAAAATTCTCAAAATCAATACAGGTATTTCTTTTTGGAAAGGAGAAAAATTAAGAGAAGCATTAATAAATGACTCAGCATGCTGAGATTTAAAATGACATATCTTTTTGACAATTATTTTCACACTTAAGCAAGTTCAATTAGTCCTAAAAGAGTAAAGAAATGGGGGCCTCCCTTGTGGAGCAGGATTAAGGCACAGCACTGTGAAGCTCTCCACAGCCACTGCATCATGAGCTCGATCCCACATGGCCTGGCAGACAGACCCCTCCTGACACCCACTACTCCCCTCAGCAGTGCATTTCAGTCTGCCTGTTCTGTTCCCCACTCTGTCTCTGGTGAATCCTCTCACTCCCTGCACTTCTGACCTGTACTCCAGTTTTTATATGCACAAATAAATAAAAAATTAAAGACTGATCAAGTGAAAATAATATGGATAAATCCACATACTATTCCTTAAATGAAATAGTGCTTCTCAGAGCTTTACTCAGCTGTAAAATTAGAACTCTATTTCATACTTTACATATCACACATATAATGTACAGGCTAGCAGAAACAAAACCATGCATTTCTGTACTGTAATTTATAAATGATTTGAAGGAGCATCAAGGGTAACTGTCCATTTACAATTTTCACCTGATGTGTGAACATCTTACATAAAGACACAACTCCTGTTCTACCTTTCTATATCCTCCAGTGTTATTTTTATAATCTGGAAGTTCAATAACCTATTTAAAATACTTTCACACAAAGATAGGAGGGAAATTTGGAAAGATGTTTATCTATCCAAAACTGCTCTTCTTGTAGCTCCTTTCTGTGTGACAGTCCCATCACTCACAAGTCGGCTTCTACACTAGAAATCTAGTATGAGAAGTTCCTACCCTTCTAGTATCTTTCAACCTATCCTTCTACAGTTGTCCAATTCACACAGTTCTAGGTCCCCACAAAGCAGGCTTTCAACTTTTTATAAACTTGTTATGAACAACACAAACTCACTGTCTTCTGAATAAACAAATCTATGAATAAAGCTAGAGGACATTTTGAAAATAACATAGTCAAACCCCTCAGGTTACAGATGGGGCCTTCTGACTCTATTACTGGCATAATTTAGCACAAGTCACAGTATTCTGTTGGAGTAGTGCTGACAGAGCTTTCAGGGATGATGAAAATGTCTGTGCTGCCCCAAACAGTGGCATATCAGTATCAACCATACATGCTTTTAGATACTTGAAATATGTGTCATGTAAATCTTGAAATGTGGTTAATGTGACTCAAGAACTGAATTTTAAATTTTATGAATTGTCATTATCTAAAGTTTAGTGAAATGGGATTAGTGGATGCAGTACAGGGACAGCTCAGCTCTGGTCAGTCTATACTAGATATCTACAAAAGACAGATAACTATCATTTGAGAATAAATAATAATATAGATGCAAATGGTACAAAGTGGCGATATAGACAGTTTCAAACCCTCTTAGAAAGTAGTGTTGGGGCCCTCCCTGGTGGCACACAGGTTAAAATGCAGCACTATGAAGCTGTCTGTGGCCGCTGCAGTACAGGTTCAATTTCCAGACAGGGGGTGATCCACATGGCGTGGCAGACCTCTCCTGACCCACCCACTGCTCCCCTTTGCAATGTATTTCAGCTCATTTGCCTGTTCTTCCCACTCTGTCTCTGGTGAATCCTCTCAGCCCCTGCCTCCTCCTCTGACCTGTACCCCAGTTCTTGTATGCATAAATAAATCTTGCTTTAAAAAATGTAGTGTTGAAGTTTTATAGCCTGCTTGATATTTACAAGCCAAAATATTTTCCACTATTTTGTTGAAATACATGCTGAAGGGAGATCTTTGCAGATGTTTACTGGTATCTATTTGTTATCCTGACCCATTGCTACACTTCCTTTTTCTGAACACTTCTAAATTTCTATGTATACTGATCAGATACATAGAAAATGTGGAGAAAATGTGAGTGGAGTATACAAAAAAGCAGAAAAAAATCTGATGAGAAATAGAAGTTATTAAAAAAAAAAGATTTATTTATGCATACAGAACTGTGGTATAAGCCAGAGGTGCATGGCAGTGGTAAGAGGATGGTAGGGTAGGGTAGGTTGAAGGTAAGGTCTGTTATCAATACATAAAACAGAAACAAAGGCAAAAACTTGTGGAATCAAGTAAAATTGAAGTTTACTGGTAGCCAAGGACTCATTAGGAATCTACATCTATCTAAGTAAGCTTTATTTAGGTAGTATTGCAAAAACAACATCATCTGAGAGAATATAACATCCCTCCAAAGGAGGAAAGTAAGAATCACAAGAGCAAGAAAAACATACTACTTATTAAGAACTGAACCTAAAAAAATTTAAGAACTTGAAAATAATTTCTGCCTATCACTGCCAGGTTTTCTCCTCTACCAGCAAAGATTAAAGTGTGTGTGTTGGGGCGGGGCGGGGTGGGGTGGGGGGGGAGCACTGCCCGAAGTCATCCATGTGGCAAATAATAAGCAGCCTTCAAATTCAGTTGTGTTTACTTTATTTATGAAAGCAAAATAGAGATAGCGCTAATATACTCACTGGCTCTCTGGCCCTCTGGCCGAATTCTACATGAAGAATTTATTTTCTCTTTTATCAAGCATTTTTTAAAATTGTATTTTGTTTCAACTGAACTTAGTTTCAACATGAGTTGTATCTTCTTGCCTCTGAGCTTGTGCTGTTCTAATACCTTTCACCATCTAATGACTTGTGGATACTGTATCATCTTTGGTTTCCTTCTTTTCTTCTTTTTATCTGACATATTTTTTTTCTCTCAACTAGGAAAATCCCTTGAGAACAGGACTTTTATCTTGCACATCTTTAAAATACTTAAACTCTGGCACTATTTTAGAAATGGTCAAGATAATTCCACCTTATCAACCCTCCAACTTATCAACCCTCCACAGTTCTAAGGCCTAAAACTGAAATGTACTAAATATTAACTTGCTTCCAAATTCTAAAATAAAAACTAATTTGCAACTCTAAAAAGTTATAAGGTAATTCACAATACCCTCAACAAAATAATTTAAAGTAATTAACAGCTTACCGACAATATGGATTTCTTCGAGAGGAGTATCGAAGAGTAAGAAATCTATAATATATAAAAGGCTGGAGCAAACTTCCTTGACCACTGAAATAAACAAAAGGGTAACAAATACCCATTATCAATATGTGTGTACAGTCTCAAAATTTACAGGCAATTTAACTGGAGAATTGTGTATGTCTTCATTCCTCAAATGATCTGATCTAATAGAAGTTACTCTTAGAAAATAAATTCATAATCGGTAAAGAATAAAATGTGGCTATCCAAATTTTTACAAATATGTATTTATGTGTTATCTTTTAAACTTTTAAAAATTACTAAACTAATTTTTAATTACTAATAATCACTAATTAATAACTAAATTTTAAATTTTGTAAAATACTAAACAAACATAAATAGTTCCAAAATCACAAAGGCTCATTAATAAATTTATATACCTATACTCATTATTATTTTTGTAATAAGAAGCACAATTATAATACCCCAAATGTCATATACAAGTTTATGAAATTTTAAATCTGAAATTCTCGCCAGGAAAAATTATCTGGATTAAGATATTCACTGACAACTACAAATAAAATGCAACAACTTAACATGGGTAGTTAAGTAACAGAGTTAAGTAAATCACATTATGTTTATTTAATGTAAATTCACTGACTATACAGCAGTATGCAAATATTCCAAAATCTTGATTATGATACAGGAACTTTGAAGAAAGCAGAATATAAAATTATACTTTAAAACTACTACTTCTTCAGAAATACATTAAGAGGTAAAAAAAAAGTGGGGGGGTTAGGTCTCAGCACTATCACCATAATGGTCTGAGGTCAGTCCCCTGCCAGGGAGCTAACCCACATATAGCATAGCACCCTCTCCTGTCTCACCCACCACTCCTCATGGCAGTGTGTTTCAGTTTGTCTCTGGTGAATCCTCTCCTCCCCTGCACCTCTGGCCTACACCCAAGTCCTCCTACATAAATAAATCCTATGTAAAATTACATAATTATTTAAAGTTAATTTAAGAGAATAAATAACAGAATCCTCCTATAATTTAAGAGAATAAGAAAACCTCCATGTAAAGCTGTAGTTTTGATATAGACTATTTTAACTTTCACTAAGTTACATCAAACAAACCACAGAGCTTGGCATTTCTGGTAGTGACCATAAGAAATAGGTGACCCAAAAAAGAAATGAACAAAGTTAAGAGGGCAGTATGTTAAGTTCTTTTACTAAGTAAAATGTTTGAGTGTCTGATCAGGATCACAAAAGAGTGATGAGCATTTAAAGCAAACATTTTAGAGTAGATTAACTAACAAATATAGCTGCATCAAATTCTACATTCAACATTCATGGAAGATTTTAAGATATTTACTCCAACTACCAATAGTTTTTAAATGTGGAACATCAAGCCTCAGAATACTAAATTAAGTTAAAACTTAACTAGAAATCTGGTCCCTCAGATTCAGTAATATCTAGTTTGGGACACTACAACCTGAAGCAACAGTTGGGGATCCTGTAGTTTCAGAGGAAAACTTTCTTTAAAAAAATGAAAAAAATGATTTGTGGCCCTCCCTGCTGGCTCAGCAGGTTAAAGCGCAGCACTAAGAATCGAAAGCCACTTCCGCATGAGTTCGATCCCTGCCTGCCCCAGAGGTGACCACCTGGCGTGGCAGACCTCTCCTGACCCGCCCGCTGCTCCCCTCAGCAGTGTACTTCGTTCATCTGCCTGTTCTGCCCCCCACTCTGTCTCTGGTGAATCCTCTCACTGCCCCTGCAACTCTGGCCTGTACCCCAGTTCGGTATGAATAAATAAATCTTTAAAAAAAAAATGAATTTGTAAGAAAACCTATAAAACTCAGTATGAAGACTGCTAAAGAAAGGAGTAACTATCAGCTATATAAAATGTCTCACTAATTACTCAAGGCAAATGAAAAATTTCATAAACAAAAATAAGTTTATTACAAATTAAAGAGATATGGAAATGAGATGAAGGCATTTTAGAACACAATACTGCAAGGTCTATTATATATAAAATACTCCTAGTTTAGACTCAAATTCACTATGGTATCTGTCTTAGAGAAAACAATGCACAAAAATATAAGCAGACAGGTGAGCAGCTGTACACTGCATCAGTATCTGGAAAAGTAAAAATGTGAAAACAATGTCCAGAACAGAGAATGGGTTATAAAATACTATTAAGTAGAACAAACCAGTATGCTATATATGCCAACATAAATAGATCATAAAAACATTGTACAACAAAAAAATCAAGATGCAGACAACTGATGCATTACAATATTTTGATATGAAAACCAAAAAGAACAAACAAAACCCCACACTCATAGTATTTATTTTCTACATATCTGTATAAGTATTTGTAAAGTACTGCATACATATATACTTACCAAACTCTTCCAGGAAGAAGACAAAATTGTCACTAGCATTCATAATCACATGATATTTTAGCTTTTACCCTAATGTCTTATTATTTGTGAAACCAAAAATTGAAAGAGCAATCATCTGAGCAGAAATGTAGTTGTAAAATGTAAATGCAAGAGTATTGATGGAGAGGTTGACTACTGTTTTAATGTTCTCATTTTAAAAAGGAAAGTTTTCTTTTGTCAAACATTATTTCTATAATTAAAAAACAAAGATATATGGGGGAGGTAGTAAACAGTATTAACTCCAGACCACAATCTGGAAATCATCTCAATAATGGCAGAATGTTGTAAAGGAAATCATCCCAAAAATCTTTCAAGTGCAGTAATTCTGAAATCAATTTTCAAAATGCAAGTATGAAACATGAAAAACAGTAAGTAATACAAATTCCTAGATTTATTATGTCTTAGGTCCCATGCTATAAAGCAAAAATATGACCATTAAGTCCATTTAGTGCTGTGTAGCAGCACTACATTTCAAGAGATTTAAGGAAGGTAAAATTCAAGTTAATGTATTTATTATGTCCACTTGTCATCAGCTTTCCCAAACAAATGTATTTTTATTCTTACCTAAAAAGCATAAAAACTGTAGCAGGCATCAAGAATATTTCATTACAAGCGATGAATTTCAGAATATTCTGCTGATTAGCACTTAATTTATCCAAAATAGATCTCAGTAGAGGTAAACTATTTGAACCTTTTGCCTAAAACATAAGAAAAAAGCATTAGAAATTAAGCACTAGATTAGAATTTAATCACTCACTCATATTCATTCTTTAGATAAACAGCATATCTGGAGGTACTATAACCAAAAGACAACTTGAAATGATGACAAAGCTTAAAAACTAAAGACAAGATCTAATGTTTTCCCTCTTCATTGTATTTTGTATATTTGAAGAATTAAAATGAAAACAACTTTAATAAAAGTAACTCTCAAGAAAGATTAGATGGTGATTATTTCTAACAATCTGACTACCCAGTAACATAATCAAAGGGCTTGTGACTCCTTAGCTAACCAAAGGTAAAACTTAAAAGAGTACAAACGAACAAACCACTAAAAATAAAGAGAATGATGAATTCAAGGCAAAAATGTGGATATTTTAATTCAAATTTCAGTACATAAGCAATTAATTTACCTGCCACATTGAAGTTAGGCAAAATGTTAGTAAAGTAGCAATGATGAGCGTCAGGCTAAAAGAAGTGAATATACTACTTACTGGCAGTTAAATATTGACAGACAAAGAGATCTGTGGTAATGTATGAAATTTATTTAAAGTCAAAGATTTTTTTAATAAAAACATTATTTCACATCTCATAAATAACTGGCAACAGGCAGGTAGTTTTATAACTACAAAATGTAATGTTTTGTGTGACTCCAACAAAAAATTCCAACGTTTCAAAACACTGAATAATTAAGAACAAGTTTGAAAAGAGTAATGGTATCTTTTGTGATAAATGCCAAAATATCTTAGAACTCAAATTCACGGCAACTTCTTAAATCAAATGTCAAAAAAAAAAAAACCCAGAAACCAAAAACAAAAAACCCAGCTAGTTTTACTTACGTCGAGGACCTTTTTCGTGTATGTGGCAGCATGGAGCAAAGAAAATAACAAGACTGGGAAAATACTCACTGAAGAAAACAATTAAGGAAACATTCAAAATTCATCAAATACTTTGCAAAACAGTTTACATATTAAGTCCAAATAAACATATATGAAATGGCATCAGCTAAACTGAGCTCAGAGATGGTTTCTGTTTTACTGACATATGAAACATTTTTAATCTGTAAAGACAAAAATAAACTTTCTTCTTTTTTTTTTTTAAAGATTTATTTATTTATGCTTACAGAACTGGGGTACAGGCCAGAGGTGTGGTAGGTGATAGGGTTCACCAGGGACAGAGTAGCAAGCAGAACAGGCAGATTGATGAAGTATACTGCTGAGGTGAGCAGCAGGTGGGTCAGGAGAGGTCTGCCACGCCATGTAGGTCACCTCCCTGGCCTGGGATGGAACTGGTGCTGCAGTGGCTTTAGAGAGCTTCATAATGCAGTGCTTTAACCCACTGCACTGCCAGGGAGGGTCCAACTTTATTTTCTAAAGTTTGAGCTCTTTTTTATGATGAAAATTCTGAAGATTTTTTTTCATTTATTTTTCTTAGGTAATAAAAATACTGTAAACCTTTCTAAATTGAAATCAAAGCCACCTCAAATAGTTAATAAAGCTTTTAACCCCACAATGGCCATCCTGATGAGAACAATTTAGCCTTCAAATAAAAGACGATCTTCGACTTTTCATTATATCAGCTACTAGGAAAGTGTGGGCTAATAGTTTAAAGAGTAGTTCCCATATTTTCCTCAGCTAAAGATCAAAAAGATCTTCCTACAAAGGCCTCATTATTTTGGGTAGTGTACCTATCAAGTTGTTATAGTCCTCAATTTATACAAACAAATGTTGTATACTTGTGTTTTGTATAGTCAATTAAAAGTCTCATCAGCTTAATTACAAAGATATGCAAAAGATCCTTATATTTTGAAATCAACTGCTTGGTCTTATGTCATGGACACAACATTTTTATTTAATTTCTAAAAAACAATAATCACTCGAAAGACCCTATTTATCCCAGTATCTGTTGTTAGGAACAACAAAAAAATTTGTTAAGTACTGACATGAAATAATTAATCATGAATGGCACACAATACTTGTCCTGAAAATATGAGCAGTTTCCAAGAAACAATTATATTTCTAGGTACTAACTGAAAGTTTGGTATGACATAATGAGTACTAAATTCATAATAACCATAACTCATTTAGTATTCAAAATTCTTGAATTTCCAATTGGCACAATGGGTTAAAGCATAGTACTATGAAGCTAGCTGCAGCCATTGCAGCATGATTCAATTCCTGGCCAGGGAGATAACCCACATAGCATGGCAGGCCTCTCCTGGCCTGCCTGCTGCTCCCCTCAGCAGTGCAGTGTATTTCAATACATCTGCCTGCTCTGCTCCCCACTCTGTCTCTGGTGAACTCTTTCACTCCCACACCTCTGGCCTGTACCCCAGTTCTTGTATGCACAAAATAAATAAATCTTTAAAAAAAAAAAAAAAGAGCTGTAGATATTTGTTCTTTTAATCTGAAGCTTACCATCAGTAAGAACAAAGTAAGTTTAAAATCCCCACGTCATGGAAGCAGTCCAAATGTCCAAAAGTAGATGACTGGATTAAAAATATGTGGTATAGGCTCTCCCTGGTGGCGCAGTGGGTTAAAGCGCAGCACAAAGAAGCTTAAGCCACTCCCGCATGAGTTCAATCCCCGCCTGCCCTGGAGGTGACCACATGTTGCAGCAGACTTCTTCTGACCTGCCTGCTGCTCCCCTCAGCAGTGTACTTCGTCGATCTGTCTGTTCTGCTCCCCACTCTGTCTCTGATGAAGCCTCTCACCCTCCGCATCTCTGGCTTGTACCCCAGTTCTGTACAAATAAATAAATCTTAAAAAAAAAAAAAAATGTGGTACATATACACAATGGATTATTACTCAGCAACCAAAAAAAGAGAAACACATGTCTTATGCAGCAACATGGATGGAGCTGGCAAAGATCATGCTTAGTGAGATAAGCCAGAAAAAGAAAGGAAAATACTGGATGGTTTTGCTCATAGCAGGAGTATAATGGACCAAGCGAGAAAATAACAAGAATAATGAACAGCCATATACCAGAGACATTTTGTAGGAGTGGAGTGGGATCCAAAACAGGGGGTGGGGAGGGAAGTGCACGGGATTATGGTGATGGCACACAGGTGACTTGGTGATGGGAAACCCACGGGGATTACAATTGAGATGAAAAAAAAAAAAATGTACAAAATGATGTAAAAATAAACTATTATATATTTTTAAAAAATTCATTTCATATACATTGTGGAAACAGTAATGCTTCCATAAAAAACAAACAAAAACAACAACAACAAAACATTCCATGTCAGCTATTTAAAAATTTCACACTTTAGGGTCAGAAATTCTTATAGTAATTGCATCTTCATTCAAATGAAATGTCAACAAACCAACCAACCCAGGATTCATGAATGCCCTCATTATCACATTCTCCCTATGGCAAAAGAATCAGAAAAATTTCCAAATGCTTAGTAGGCAATTTCATTGTGAAAAAAGTACAAAAGGATACTTGTTACAGGGTAAGAATTGACAAAGATGAGTGAATACAACAGGTAGTGGCAGCTGTCCTCTAATAAAGCTTGGGCCAGGAACGCTCTGCTTAACTGGAAGTGTGGTAATCTTTGGTGAAGTCTCAGAGCACTGGTAAGAGCATTTGCCAGTAAAGCACGCTGGTAAAAGTTTGCTGCTTCATGTAACCTACAAATCATCAGAGGAGAGGTTATCATGAGACAAAAACAACTACCGTGTTTCTTCCTCCTTGGTGAATTGCATCATAATTGCACAACACCTAAATCTATTACTTGTCATTAGAAAAGAAGTACTTGAATCTACTATACCTTCCCAGAAGCATCATTTCATACACCTACCCAAATGAATTTTACAAAGCATTTTGCTTATTAAGTTAAAATGTCAAAAATGCAAAATACATACATCTCATCCTCACACATCTATTTTTCTTCAGGTTTTCAATTTCACATTATTTTTCATAATCAGAAGATATAAACTATTCCCTCAGTTGATAATATTACTAGGCATGTTCTATTTGTCCCAATCCACTTACAATTGCTCTTAGAAGGTTAAAAACTAAACTAATATCAAACATAGAAAAACACAATACATACCCAAGAAGTGGCAGAACAAACAAAGCAGAGCAGTAAACTGTGAACAAGCGAGAAAGCCACATAGCTGTGTCCAGTTTATTGGTCATCATGAATTGCTGAATTTAAAAGGAAAAAAAAAAAGTTGCTATAAACTAAGCATGAAAATAATTTTTATGGATGATTATGCAATGTTATTTATGTTACTTCTATTCAAAATATTTTAATGACCCTGTAAGAACTGATTTTTTTAAGATCATCAGATGAAGACTTTTACGGCAATTGTTTCACACATATATATACATATGGATACATATATAGTCAGTAACAAGCTCAAACACCATAACACTTGGCATTTAAAAAAATAAAGACTAATTAGGAAAGAAAAATCTGAACAGAAATTTAAGTACAACTGTCCTATTCCTTAAAAACTTGTAATACTGACTCTTCATCTATTTTAAAAGAATGGTAAATAAGAACTAATTGTTCTCTAGAGAGCAGAGAGCAACAATGCTTATTCCTAGAAAAGTCTTAAATTTAAATAGGTAGTTCTCTGATAGTAACAAAAAGGAATCATACAAAGTCAGTTTGGTTTAAATAAATGTCACAAAGGAGAAAAGTAGTCATTTAATACTGAATACTGTGGCCAATGGCTTATTTACCTGTGCAGACACAGAGCCCAAAATATCATAGGTGTTTAAAATAATGCTGTCAGGTGTTAAAATGGCACCTGCCTCTCAGATTTTATGACTTCCTTCTTCAGTTTGAAGCTACCCCACAAGTCTTACCCTAGTTATGGTGACTCTAGATTAAATTTCCATACTGTTGTCTTATTCATTTTTTTCTCATTGTATCTTTTCCTTCTTTCTTTCTTTCTTTTTTGCCAGATATGCCCATTACCACTAATGCAATAACTTACTTTTTTCATCCAAAATGTGTCATATATTCAAATTTTTAAGTGACTGTTTACACTTCTTGATTGAATCTACCTATTTTTACATCAAGCTGCAATACACATACTTAGTATATCAAGTAAACAAAAATCCACAAAGCCAAACTAATCATAACTATATGTGGTGGATTTGCGTAGTTTGTATTTTACTTAATGTATTAGAAATATTTAGTATTTCCACCAAAGTGATTTCAGAACTCACCAACATGTCTTAACTTGGGAGTCTAAAACACTGCACTACACAATCTAGTTTACCTTTTTAAAAAAAAGAACTGAAAACTTTTAGGAAAAAATCCAAGTACATCTTAAACTTCAAGGATGTTTTATTGCATGTCTTTTAAAACAGTATTTGTAGAAATACAGGTCATTATAGAAATATGCCGCTGGTTTTTTGTATCCAATCCTACTATGTTCTGAATTCTCTAAAGTAAATGACAACCAGTAGTCAAGTAAAAGGAAAAATCTAACTTCATATGCTCAGTTCTCTATAAACAGCCAGGCTCTGCATCAGTCTGAAACTTATTTAGACCATTTCCCTTAAGACATGTTTAGGGTGTTCATTTTGTGATAAATCCATGAGCTACACATTTCATTTCATACTCTCTTATAAATGTATTGGTTCATACTTGAACTCAATTACCCCACCATGTTATAAATTATTCTGTCAAAAAATAAAAAAAATTAAAAATCAGTGGATTTTTGGGTGAAAAGCTATTCAGTTTCAAATATCTGACCATAGAACACATATTAATTACAAAGGCAAAAGAAATATAATAGAGAACTTATACTTTAATGAAATAATTAAACTTGCTATCTCCAATAATAGTATAAAATAACACCAAAAATGCACTAAGAAGGGCAAACTAACAATATTCCTAGGTAATCTTCCTCCCAATATAATATAGACTATCACTTCTTCCTATGCAATATATCTACCAAAATGTTCTATGTGAATCTAGTCATCAGGGGATAAAAATCTGACAACTTTGGCCCTCCCTGGTGGCGCAGCGGGTTAAAGCACTGCACTGAGAAGCTAAAAGCCACTTCAGCATGAGTTCGATTCCCGCCTGCCCCGGAGGTGACCACATGGCGTGGCAGACCTCTCCTGATCCGCCCGCTGCTCCCCTCAGCAGTGTACTTCGTCGATCTGCCTGTTCTGCTCCCCACTCTGTCTCTGGTGAAGCCTCTCACCGCCCCGAGCCTCTGGCCTGTACCCCAGTTCTGTATGCACAAATAAATAAATCTTTAAAAAAAAAAAAATCTGACAACTTTGAGGTGCATTCCCCCAAAGTCTGGACACCAAAAGGACAAAATGAGAAGAAACTAAAAGTCAATAATGGCAATGCAAACTTCTTGAATGAGTCCTGGTCAAGGATGAAGCAGCTTTAAAGGACCACTGAGGAAATTTGAATATGGATTGTATATTCAGTAATGACATCTATCAATGTAAAATGCCAAATTTAACTACAAAATGAAGGCTAAGTCTAAACACTGCAATCACATAGAATATCTCAGTATCTGTGGTTTAACTATTATGAAGGATGTACTCTCAAATGGTTCAACAAAATAAAGAAGAAATGTATGTGCTTGGACGCAGACACGGTGCAAAGTATTTCAAAAGGAAAGTGATTGCTTCAGTTCACATATTCATAGTGTTTGAAATCAGAGAGTACAAGTAACCACTTAGCCGTTGAAGTGAAGCATTTGATGCTTCGTTCGCAAAGAATAAGGATACAGTGATGAAAAGGAAACAAAATAAGGCACAGGGGTATAACTTGGGGCAAAAACGTGTTCTCTGCCAGCACTCCTGTGCGAGACGACGCGCGTGTCATGACACAACCTCAAGCGGCAACCTTGGGACCTAGGACAATCAGACCTAAGAGTAGGGAGCGGAAGAGGGCCCAATTTCTATGACATACAGGTGAGAGCCACCTGCTTCAGGTCGACTGGTGGTAGCTTCTGCAAAACAAACTTGGAACTCCATCTCCATCTTCGCTCAGGATCTCTCCTCCACCGGCCTCCCACCAATCACTAATCCCACTCTAGAAAGCACAGAGCTTCTGGGATACCTCAAATCCGACTAGTGAACTCCCCTGATCCTTTCTAAGTCTTCAAAGCAAAAGCCACACGATCCTGCAGACTCACTTACCACTGCGCCCGCCCCTTGGGGACCGTTGGGGGTCGTATCAGCCATAGGGGACTCACACGCGCTTCTGGGAAGCTGCAACTGGTCAAGGAAAAGAAAAGAGGGAGGTCAGCGCCGAGACCACGACTCAGTCTCCCTGCCCCGGGCCTCAAATTCGCACGCCCGGCCAGAACTCCGAGCCTCCCCAGAAATAAGCTTCTCCTGTCTCGATAAAGGCGGCCTGCGCTCAGGACACCCGCACTGGCTGGGAAATACCTGCCCCGTATCGCCGCGATTAAAGCTGAGTTTCTAGAAAGACCCAAGTGAAGGCGGAGCTTCGGAGCAAGGCCCAACACCGCCGACCCAATACCGCGGACTCCAGGTTTTCGCCGAACCCGGAAATGCACCTTTTACTTCCGTAGGAAAGAGCCGGTGACGGAGTGGGGACAGGGAGAGCAGTGCTTGATGGGAAGTGTAGTTTTTTATATTTACGCTTCCGCAGTTCAGGCGCAAATCTGAGTGGGCAGGTTTTCGCTCACCGCCAGCTCACGTTTGGCTGTTCGTTCCTTGTTCAAGCTACAAAATCTCTCCTTCCAAAATACAGAAACCTCAGAAAAGCGCTCTTTGCTGTTTTCCTTTAGCGATCATTAAGCTCTAGTGGTTTCTGTCAATATTATGTTTAATTTATATCCATGTAAATCCACCTAGATTTACTTTGTTTATTCTAGTGCTAAGTACGGTATAGAATTATTATCTATTTATGAATCGCCAAATTAATTTTTCATAATGATGGACTTTTAATTTTTCACCTTTAAAAATCAATCTGCAATGAACAACTTTACATGGGAGTTTATCAGGGTAAACATTTAGTAGTAGAATGGGTGGGGCATAAGGGATCTTCACTTTGCATGTTAAAGTCATTTGGTTACCTAAATGGTTCCGTGTGGTGTCTCAGAATATCTCTAATCTCTGCCAGCACTTTTTATTTTTACTTCTTACCAATCATATGTGTATGAAATGGATATTGTTTTAAATGACATTTTCCTGAGTAGCAGTGAAGTTGAGTAACTTTTCCTATCAGTAGACATTCAGTCTTTCTCTTCTGTTGTCTTTTTCTATCGAATTGACTGTCTTTTATTATTATCCATCACTGTTGATTTGTTAAAATTTTATTTTTAAATAGCAAAGTCATTTTTTGACACTAGTCCTTTGTTATGAGTTGAAGTTGCCTTTCCCTTTTAAAGGTGAATAAAAATAATAAATGAAGGGGCCTCCCTGGTGGTGCAGGGATTAAAGTCTCAGTACTATCAGGTTTTCATCAGCCACTGCAGCATGAATTTGATCCCTGCCCAGGGAGATGACACACATGTCACATCAGACCCCTCCTGCCTGGCCTGCTGCTCCCCTCAGCAGTGTATTTCAGCAGATCCGCCTGTTCTGCTCCCCACTCTGTCTCTGGTGAATCCTCTCACCTCCCACCTCTGGCCAACACCCCAGTTCTTGTATGTATAAATAAATAAAAAATAATCTTTAAATAATAATAATAAGAGAATATGTGGGGGAAAGATGAGGAAACAATCTCTGTGCCACAAACTTAGACCCAAAGCTGAACCAGAAACTGCCAGGCCACATTTCAGCAAAACCTCTAAATTAACCCTCCTTCATCTTTTTGTTTTTGTTTTATTTCCATTTGGAATTTGTCAAATTTGTCTTTCTTCCTTCTAAGTATGTTTTTCTATCTTCCTTGATCAACCTGTTTGGGAGTGCTAAATTAATGAAATAAGTATGCCAATAGACTGAAGTGGTTTTAGTGCCTCAGTGGCCTAATTAACTAAACTTTAATGTGTAAGTGCCCTAGACTTAATTCCTGCAATTTTATTCTCTTATTCCCAGCCCAAGGCCTCTCCTAAAACTATGCATCACCAGATCCTCATGTCAATAAACATCCTAGCTTGATCCCTTTCTTTGTATTCATTGAAACCAGAGACACAGGAGTGTCACTGTATGTCATGGGTCTGGCATTATTTAATCCAGATGTCAGTCGGGACAGAAAGAATAACCCAGAACCCTGGAACTAATTGGGTCCCCATTATCATTACAAGTCCTACTCAGTGAGTAGAGGTTACAGCAAACTGAAGAAGGTTCAAAATGTGAAGTGAGATATTTCACTGTAAAGCTGCTTAAAATGTAGTTCTTCCAGAAACTATCCACATAATTTTCCACTTAACCAGGAAATATTTCTTTCTAAATTCCTGGCATTGTGCTGGTATTGGGGTTTAAACTGATTAATAACTAGATGAAACTTGGTGGGGGGAACAACCTGTAAGCACCTCAAGGTTAAAAAATCAAAATCTAAGACAACCAATCACTAATACCCAACCAGTCTTTTCCAAAATAAGACAAATGTTTAACTATAGCCAATCAAATATTTTCCTTGCTTTGCTTCTACTTTCCTCTATAAACTTTTCCCCAACCTTTTCACTATATCAGCTCCTCCATCCTCCCATTTCTCCATCTACCTCATTATTCATGGTACTTTGAAAAGACCAATGGTATATGATCCTAACTTCAATCTGTGGAATATTTATAACTACTTCTGTGGCTAGGGATTGAACTCATGCTGCAGTGGCTTCTAGAGCTTCCCAATGTGGTGCTTTAACCTGTTGTGCCACCAGGGAGAGCCCCAGTGATGTAATTTTCAAATATACATGATCGTCTTAGGATCACCTTGTTTTCAAGTAACAGAAATTAAGTCCAAACAGACATATGGGAGAAAATGAGCAAAATAATTAGCTGTAGTTAACCCTAGAACAACCTGGGTTTGAACTGCAGAAGTCCATTTCTATGTGGATTTTTTTCAATAAATACAGTTTGCCCTTCAACTCCTGTATGCTACAGTCAAGGATCCAACCAACCTTGGTTGGAATCTGATACAGAGGGCAGACTAAAAAGGACTTAAGCATTCACAGAGTGTGGTATTTGGGGGGGGGTCCTAAAGCCCATCCCTCACAGGATACTGAAGGCTATAGTTAAGTTTGGGGGTACTAAAAAGTTATATACCTGGATTTTCAACTGGGGGGATGCCCCTAGCCCTTAACCCATCCTCTCATTTCTCCACCTATCTCATTAAGTCAACCATACTTTGAAAAGACCAGAGGTAGGAGATCTTGAAATAGGCATGAATGGATTTAAGTGAACGTGTGATATCTTTGAAATCCGTGTTCTCATTTCAACTTCCTTCTCAGCTGACTTCATTGTCAAACTGATTTTCCATACACTGAGTCTGTAGTGACCAAGTTAGCAAATGGCTTGATAAAAAGTGCTTGTTGCCCAATACTTTCAAATAATGATCCCCTTGGTTCTCAGTAGGTCAGATCTAGTCCTATAAATTTTTACATCAGTCATTGAGACAAATGGGCCATGACTACAATAAGTTTACCCATTCTTGTGTGAATGGAGAGTAGGAAGGAATATGTACAGAATCAGACTCATCTGAAACTCTTCAGTGTGTTGCTATGAAAAGAAGAACTGGGACTGCCAGGAGAGCAAATACAACATAATTCTACTTCAATCATCATGACTTAGCTGATCCTTTTTATATTTTTTACCTTTCTTAATGTCTGTCAATTCCTACCTGATAAAAGTTTGCACAGGGTAAGGGTGAATTCCTAAGTGTTACCCAGTTTACTTTAATTTAAGGAGAGAAATTATGCTGTACCACAAACTCTGAAGTTGAAGCAGTTGGCCACCAAAAGGCCATTACTCCTTTTGGTTAGAAATTGGCTGATGGAGCAAGAATTGATTCCAGAGTTATTGATGAATTGGCTCTTCCCAGTTTTCAAGAGGGATTCTACTGAACCATCAAGTCATCAATTTCCTCATTTCTGCTTCCATCAGTGATTAATGACCCTGTGGCTAGATAGAACATATTTGCAATTGCTAAGTGCTGAGTCATTCATCTCATTAGAAATACATTCTTTTATTTGCTGCCTGAAAAGTAAGCTCCATGAACTGTGCAGTTATGATGAGTATAAAGTTTCTGTTGTGGGTATACCTTACACTAGACTATTTTAAAACTGTAAATTATAGATTACTGATAAAAATGCAACTAACTCGGTCCCTCCCTGGTGGCACAGCGGGTTAAAGCACTGCACTGAGAAGCTAAAGCCACTTCCGCATGAGTTCGATTCCCGCCTGCCCCGGAGGAGACCACATGGCGTGGCAGACCTCTCCTGACCCGCCCGCTGCTCCCCTCAGCAGTGTACTTCGTTGATCTGCCTGTTCTGCTCCCCACTCTGTCTCTGGTGAAGTCTCTCACTGCCCCTGAGTCTCTGGCCTGTACCCCAGTTCTGTATGTACAAATAAATAAATCTTTAAAAAAAAAAAAAAGCAACTAACTCTTGTCTATTATGTTAGTTTTCTATTGCTGCTTTAAAACATTAACATAAATTGGTGACTTAAGGAAAACACAGTCTTACTATCTTATATCTTATAAGGTCAGAAATCACACAAATCTTGCTGTGCTAAGATTAAGGTATTTAACTACACATAAATGGACAAATAATTGATGACAAAGGAACCAAGAACATACAAAAGAGAAAGGAAATACTCTTCAATAAATGGTGCTGGGAAAACTGGACAAGCATATGCAAAGGAATTAAACTAGACCACAACCTTATGCAATATTTAAAATGTACTCAAAATGGATTAAAGGCCTCCTTGGTAGCCTAGGAGTTAACTCTTAGAGCTATCACTGCCTTGGCCATGAATTCAAACCCTGGCCAGTGAGCTGACCTACACATGATGCGGCAGACCTCTTCTGTGTCACATGCTGCTCTTTCAGCAGCATATTTCAGTAAATATACGTGTTCTGCTCCCCACTCTGTCTTATCCTTTTATCCCTCCCCCCACTCAAGGCCTACACCCCAGATTTTCTATAAAATAAATATTTTTAAAAAATGGATTAAAAACTAGAATATAGGACCTGAAACCACAAAATACATAGAAGAAAACATGTGCTAGGCTCTTTGAGATATCTTTGTAGATTTGTTTTTAATATCTAGAGAAACAAAACAGAATATAAACAAATATGATAATGTCAAAGTAAAAATATTTCTCATACTGCAAAAAACTATAATTAAAACAAAAGGCACCTATTGAATGGGGGAAGATATTGGTAAATCACTTACCAAATAATCGATTGACATCCCTAATAAGTAAACATAAAACTCAGTAACAAAAAACTATACAACATGATTTTAAAAATGGGCAGAGACTCTAAATAGACATTTAGCTGAAGACATACAGATTACCAACAGATACATGAAAAGATGTTTCCATAAAAGAAATGCAAATCCACAATGAGATTTCACCTTACATGACT